GTGAGTTCTGGGGACTGTCAAGCCCCTTAGTTCAGTGAGGTCTGGGGCTCCTTACAGGGTCTGTGGTATAGAAGGTGCCTTGAGGGATTTGTTTCCTGGATGTTGAATGAAAGGCTTCCCCCTCCAACTGGCTTATTCAACCTTTTCAGCCCAGTCCCTTTGTGCTATGAAACGCCTGCTCAGCTCACCTCTGCCATATTCCACCTCTACCTCAGTGTTTTTTATTCCCTTTCCATGGAGGCCCAAGGGGAAAGACATGGTCTTGCTTAGTCTTAGGTGACCTTCCCCTCAGGCCCTCTTCTTCTCTGTCATCATCTTCTGATGTTCACCCTCTGGAGAAAAGGGAAGGGAAAGAGCAAGACGATATGGCTACAGGTGAATGGAGAGACAAACCAGAGTTAAAGAAATATATGAGTGTTCTCCCTAAAAACACTGGCCACATCATCTCTATCATCATCTTCATGGTTACTGAGCTCTTGCCACAAGTCAGGCACCTGCAACGTGCTTATTGTGCATCATGAGGTAGCAGCACTCAAGAATATCCTGCCAGGCACTGGTGGCTCATGCCTGTAATCCTAGCTACTCAGGAGGCAGAGATCAGGAAGATCTTGGTTTGAAGTTAGCCTGGGCAAATAGCCTATCTTGAAAATACCCCACAGAAAGACAGGGTTGGTGGAGTAGCTCAAGTGATAAAGTGCCTGCCTAGCAAACATGAGACCCTGGGCTATAATCCCAGTACTTAAAAAAAAAAAAAAAAAAAGAAAGAAAGAATATCCCAAGCTGGGTGTGGTGGTTCATATCTATAATCCCAACTACTCAGGAGGCAGGGCAGGAGAATTTTGAGACCAGCCCCAGCAAAGTTATTGCGACCCAAGAGGACTGGGGGTGTGGTTCAAGTGGTAGAACACTTGCCTAATATGTGCAAGGCCCTGGGTTCAGGAGTCAAGCCAGTCCGCAGAGCTGTGCTCTGACCCTCCAGTGGGGCATCCAGCTTCTTGGATTCTGGAAGAATACTTTGTCACATGGCCAGGGACCCTTGAATCCTACTTTTCCAACTAGTCCAAACTCTCCCTACCTTAGTAGCTCTAGCATTCCAGACAGAGGTACAACTCTTCATCAGCCTATACACACTGACCTCATGTTTTCATCCCTCTTCTGGCTCAATGAAGCTTGAGTGTTAGGTAGAAATCATGAAACCCTTCCATCCAGGTCCTCATGTCCCCACTTGCTGGGATGACCTGCATTGGGATTTGAGCCAAGGCAGTGTGTTGGCTAGTTTCATGCTGATTCTTTCCTTCTGTGGAGGAAGAACCACCCCTCTATTCAATGGCATGGATGTATTCTGCAAATGCTCAGGTTTTTGTAGATTTATGTGGACCTGGTGAACAGGTTGCTTCGTGCATGGCAATGGCCTGCACCATAGCCTGAGCACACCATTCCCACTGCTCTAACCAGGATTTCACACTAGGGCACAAGGCACATCCCAAGGGAGTTCTAATGTGGGACCAGGCAGCCTCAGACTCAGAGCGTCATCAGCAGAAGGGAGCTTCTTTGCTCTCACCTCCCCCCCATCTTTGGGACCCAGAGGATGAAGAGGGTTAAGAATCCAGCTGGGAAGAATTAGATCTGGGTTGCTACTTGGAAATCCTTGATCATCATTCAATCCCTGGCATTAGCATGATCTCTCTTCTGCACAGAAGCAAGAAAGAGTGGTTGCAACCATAGCAGGTGTAAACATTCTGCCATAGGATCTACATTGGGGAAGAATCAGTCAGGTCCAAGGATGTCATGAATGGAGTGCTTTGACATGTTCAGGATCTGGGAAAGACCTTCCCAAAAGTTCTTAATTGCAAATGGAGGCAGATGAGATGAGTGAGGACCTGACACCCTGAGGCAGAGAAACAGGTCTGACCATGCTGTTCTCTGCCCCCTCAAGGAGAGAAGTTTCTCCTTTGCTTCCTGCCATTCCCACAGCCTGGTTCCTTGACTCTGTAAGCTATTGGATCCCTTTCTTCATGTGGTTCCCACAACTCTGTGGGAAAGGTATTTAACATGGCAGATGTGAAAGGTTAGATGCCCTAACAAAGGGTATAAACCAACAGCAATAGTGACTGAATTGAAAGTCCAACCTGACATCCCAGTCCCACCAAAAAAAAAAAAAAGACAATGAAAGTTCAACTTGTGTTTCAAGTGTCTCCTCTGGCAACTTTTGCATTACTATTTATTTATTTATTGGTGATGTAGATTGAACCCATGGCCTTGTGCATACTAGGCAAGTAGGCTACCACTTGAGCATGCCCCCAGTCCTTTATTTTAGTTTTGAGACAGGATCTTCATTTTATCTTTGCCAGGGTTGGTCCAGAACTTTCCATCCTCCTGCTTCTACCTCCCGAGTAGCTGTGGTTATAGGTATGAACTACCACTCCTGGCCTCCTAGCATTTATTTTGTGCAGAGCAAATCCTGTCTCCTTGGTAGATCCCAGACCCAGAGAGGGCAGAGAGAAATTTCATTTCTTCTTTTCTTCCTTCTTTCCTTCCCTGGAATTTCATTTCTATACTTTGTTGAATCTGCTATTATTCTCCTAATCATGATGAAACTATATAATCATGGGTGGATGTAATTAAATGGAATTTAACAGAGACTGATTTTTTTTTTCCTTCACCATTGCTCCCACCTTTTTTTCCTATTCATTTGCCCCCAGGTTTTTTTTGTTGTTGTTGTTCTGGAGCTTGAACTCGCGACCTACACCTTGAACCACTCCACCTGCCTTTTTTTGTGTTGGTTTTTTCAAGATAGGGTCTCGGGAACTATTTGCCTGGGCCAGCTTCAAATTACGATCCTCCTGATCTCTGCCTCCTGAGTAGCTAGGATTACAGGCATGAGCCACTGGCTTCCGGCTCATTTGCTCCCAGTTCTAACCCAAGTAGTTGAAAAACTTATCTTTCTCATTGTTGGCTTTTGACATTTGATTCAGTGCCTACACAGAGCTTCTGAGTGCAGATAGTATAAAAAGGGCAAAATAAAAATAGCCAATTGGTTGATAATAGAATGGGAGCATTTCTAAGGACAGAAGGGGAGGGAGGACACTGGGGCTAAAGCCAGCTGGAGATGAGGGGAGCTGGGCAGAAGCCTTCCTGACATCCGGGCTTGTTCTGAGGCAATGCAGGTGGTTCTGGTTGGTAGAGACAGAAAGGGAACAGCAGGTCAAAGATTCTGCTTTTGCCAGGGCCTATATTGGCCAGGGCCCATCCTGGGGCTCTTATTCTTTAAGGAAGAGCTGATGACACATTGTGTTCCACCCTATTAAGTGAGGCACTTACTTGCAAGGAACTTCCTCAGGCTGGCTGTTTGCAGAGCTCTGCCCCTGCTAATATAATGGTGCTTACTTAAATGCCTCCTCCACAACACTGAACACACGTTACTCACAATGTCATTACTATCTGAACACAATATTCTTCCTTTCTGTTTTGGCATTTTGCAGCTGGTATTGATTGTTGCTTTTACTGGCAAACTGTATACCAAAATAAAAACAAACACAAGTGTTGGAGCAAGAAGACAATGAAGTGCTTTTTGTGTCTGCAGGGTTGGGAAAAGACTTGCTCAGAGAGCCAGCAGTCAACCTGATCCTCTCAGTGAACCTCTGCAATTATTGTAAGGATGTTTGTCTGTCTGTCTCTTTCTCTTCACAAGGAGGGCAGCTGTGGTCATCCACACACCCTGAATACTTGGTTGTCAGTCACAGCTGCTGAATGACATTGAGTTAGGGCTGTCCAGGAAGCAATGATTTTAGGGTTAGGTCAGTGACCTCGCCTTTCTGCTCATTTCCACATGCAACTACCCCAGCTGGTCCATCACAATTTGGGGTTAGGGGTTTGGTTCTGGAAGGGCAGACAGCAGTACAAAACCAAAGACTATTCACGAAGAGTTCAATGTCTAAGCCAACTGTTTCCACAAATTTAGCCAAGCGATGCTGAATTATCATTCTCAGTGCCATATACAGATTAAGAAACGGGCTAGAGATGGTGATCTGGAAAGACTGGGATTTGTGCCTGGATTCAGTGTCTACATTTGTGAAATGGAAGTAGTACCTACCACTTAGGGTTGTTGGGAAGATTCAATAATTTTTACATGCATGTTTACTGCCTGTTTTCTGCTCTAGGCTGTCAACTCCAGCAGGCAGGAACTTGGGCTTGTTCACTAGTAATTATTGTCAAAGCTTGAAACAAGTGTCTGGTATGTAGTAAGTGTTCAATAAATAAATACTTATGCCTAAAAGGAAAGGACAAGAAATAAGCCTAGGCCAGAGCCTGGCCCTTCTTTAACTTTCCTTCCCCAGTTTTGCCTTCCACACCAGGCAGCCCCTGGAGAATGGGAGTGTTGAGTTTGGGATGTGTGAGAACCCACTTCTGGCTTTAGGACAAGGACAGCAAAAACCCCAGGAGTGAGGAGGCCAGGAAAGTCTCCAAGGGGCAGGCTGCAAGGCCCGCGCATCCCTCAGGTTCCCCTTTTTTTTCCCCTTTCTAAATCAGGAAATGCATTTTTCTTGCCTTAGCCTGCACAGAAAGGCCATCAGCCCTAAGCTGATGTAGAGTGCTAGGGACTAGGAAAGAGCCGAGCATGCGAGGCCAGGGAGGACGGAGAGCCGAGGGACAGGAACCGCGTGGCGGGGAGACAAGATTCCAGCGGAGGAGAGCTGACCTCCGCCGGCGCGGAGCGCAGGGAAAGCGGCGGCAGGACGTAGAGGGAGGGCGGGGCGGATACTCGCCTGCGGCTCCCGCGCTCCCGCGCCGCTCCACCTTAAGTGCCCAGACCCCCTTAAGGGCCGGCGCGGGAGCTGCACTCCGGGGCGGGGCCTCGCATGCAAATGAGAGGCGTGGGTCGGCGGGGCGGGGCGGGGTGAGGTGGGGCGGGAGGGGGCGCTGACCTGACGTCAGGCCCGCGGCCCGGGCAGTTGGCTCGGCGGCGGCGGAGCGGCAGGAGTGGCGGCGCCGAGCTGGGCCGCGCTGTAAGGCGCGGAAAGCAGCGGCAGCAGAGCCGGAGCAACATGGCGCCGGTGGGCGGGGGCGGGCGCCCGGGCGGCGGACTGGCCCGAGGGCGCCTCCTCCTGGCGGTGCTGGTACTGCTTATGCTGCTGTGGGCGCGGGGGACCCGGGGCCAGGGCAGCCCCCAGCAGGGTGCGATCCTGGGCATGAGATTGGCTAGCTGCAACAAGTCGTGTGGGATGAACCCGGATGGCATCATCTTCGTGTCGGAGGGTAGCATCGTGAACCTAAGGTTGTACGGCCACAGTCTGGGTGATATCTCCAGCAACCTGATCTCTTTTACCGAGGTGGAGGACTCCGAGACGGCCCAAAACACCACCAACTGCCGCGAGCTCACCAAAGACCTGGTTGTCCAGCAGCTGGTCAACGTGAGCCGCGGGAACACGTCCGGGATGCTGGTGGTGCTCACCAAGTTCCTCCGGAGGAGCGAGAGCATGAAACTGTACGCGCTATGCACCCGGGCCCGCGCCGATGGGCCCTGGCTCAAGTGGACCGACAAGGACTCGCTGCTCTTCATGGTGGAGGAGTCCGGGAGGCTCCTGCCCCTCTGGATGCACATCTTCCTCCTTCTGGTGCTGCTAGGGTTGTCGGGCATATTTTCTGGCCTCAATCTGGGTCTCATGGCCCTCGACCCCATGGAGCTGCGCATCGTGCAGAACTGTGGCACTGAGAAGGAGAGGCGGTATGCCCGCAGGATAGAGCCCATCCGTCGAAAGGGGCAACTACTTGCTCTGCTCGCTGCTCCTGGGGAATGTGCTGGTTAACACCTCCCTCACCATCCTTCTGGACATCCTCATCGGGTCTGGCGTTATGGCCGTGGCCTCCTCCACCATTGGCATTGTCATCTTTGGGGAGATCGTACCTCAGGCCCTGTGCTCCCGACATGGGCTGGCTGTGGGTGCCAACACAATCGGTCTCACCAAATTTTTTATGCTGCTTACCTTCCCCCTCAGTTTCCCCATTAGCAAGCTCCTGGACTTTTGTTTGGGCCAGGAGATTCGTACAGTTTACAATCGGGAGAAGCTGATGGAGATGTTGAAGGTGACACAGCCCTATAATGACCTCGTGAAAGAGGAGCTAAATATGATCCAGGGTGCCCTGGAACTACGGACCAAAACTGTGGAGGATATCATGACCCCGCTCCAAAACTGCTTCATGATCCGCAATGATGCCATCCTGGACTTCAACACCATGTCAGAGATTATGGAAAGTGGCTATACTCGTATTCCTGTGTTTGAAGATGAGCAATCTAATATTGTAGATATTCTTTATGTCAAAGACTTGGCCTTCGTAGACCCTGATGACTGCACCCCCCTGAAGACTATCACCCGTTTCTACAACCACCCAGTGCACTTTGTCTTTCATGACACCAAGTTGGATGCCATGCTGGAGGAGTTCAAGAAGGGTAAGGACTGACTGATGCAGCACCCTGGTTCAGTCTTTTTGTGATGCCTCTTGTCTTCCTGTGGGTTTTGTGTCTGATTTTAGTGTTCCATTTGTGTAACTCTTGTGTCCCTTTGCCCATTATTTCTTGTGCCTCGGAGGCAGATGCTATTGGGCACAGTGGAAACAGTTCTTAAGCATTTGTCATCTGCTTTGTGCTTTGAATGAATCAAAGCTGAAAAGACACAGTTGCACACTTGCAGGAATGGAGCAGGGCCTCAGGGAGCAGGATAGAATAAGGTCAATCCCTGAAAAGAGGCCAGTACCCCATTGATGGAGATTTAGAGGGTGGGGTTGGGTGGGGCTGGGGAACTAGGAAACCATCAAGGGAGGGAGCATTTAAGGGAGTTTTGTGTGTGTGTGTGCTGGGATCGAAACCAGGGCCTTGCATTTGCTAGGCAAGTGCTCTACCACTGAGCTACAGCCCAGCCCTTAAGGCTAGTTTTAAAAGATAGAGTGGCTTCATACAGGGTAGAACCCTAGTGAGGGTGGAACCCAGGAATGTTCTTGGGGCCCAACAAGTGGTCCTAAATAACTGGCATATTGGCCCTGCTGATCAGTGGTTAATGGGAGAGAGGCTGAGTTATTTGGGGCCCAAGGTGAACGTAAGTTTATTCTCAACTTGGAGCTCTGGAAGGTTTCCAGCAGAAAAGTGATACCACTGGAGTTCCAAGCCCACAGAAGAATTGAGAGGTCTCTAGTTGGCTCCCCTCTCAGAGCAATGCCAAGTAACACTTTCCACTACTCAGCAGAAGCAAGCAGATTAAATTTTGGTTGTTACTGTCTTTCCCAGGTGCCTAACATAAGCTTGCCTCCTGTGGTCTGGGAATCTTTAGTTGGCCTTGTACTGCCTTGTATTTTTGTTTTTTTTTCCCAGGTGTGTTCTTGGCCCCTTCTCAGGTGGTTACTCCCCAGCCTCAAAACTCAGTGCACAAGCCCCTTTCTTTACTTCCAACAAAACTTTCCTCCCACCTCTGCTATCCAGAAGCCCTCAGATTGGTAGTAAACAAGTCAATTATGGAGTAAACTCTCCTAAGCCAAAGGAGGTGAGGAGGCAGAAATGGAAGCTCTTTAGTGAGAAAGGAATTGGGGCTGGGAGGAAGCTCACACTAAACCTAGGGACTATGCTTCTACACTATTGTCCCCAGCACCCTTGTCCCAACCTTCCCATAGGTAGAGCTGCTACTGGCTGAGGGTCAGGCCGACCCAGCGCTAGGAGCCACTTCTGAACCTTAGCTATGAGCAAGCCCAGGGTCATTTCTGTACCAGAGAGTGGAAGAGAGCCTGGGAGTGGAATAGGGAGAGAAAAGCTGGCCTTCCAGGTTTGGTCTGAAAAGATGCTTATGTCAGGGCCAAGAGCCGAGGTGGTGCCTTTCTTTTTTAAAGTTTGCCAGACTGAATCTCAGTATTAGAACTGAGGATGATTTGAGGATTGTAAGTCAGAGAGGGAAGCAGCCCGCCACTTAGAGAGACTGGAGAGACATAGATGCCTGATGGTGAAGGCAGAGCCTGGGCAGAGCTTGGGGTTTATGCCTGTGAGTGTGCCCATCCCCACCTGGCATTCTGGGGCCCTGAAAACCTCTTCCATGTTACTTGGTCAGGAATTTGATCAGGACTCACAGGGTGTCAGTCATCCTCCTTACCCACTTCTATGGTCCTTGAGACTGTTACTGGTGACACACCCACCAGCACCTCCCCAATCAGTTCAGCCAGATCTGGATCTAGCCAGTATGAATTGGCCTAGTTTGGCTTCCAGCACTTGATGGCAGGACTGAGCTCTCTTGTGTGGGAGCTTCCTGGGCTTGGCAGGACCATCTTTGGACTCTGTCTTATGAAGAAGTGCCCTTTTATTAAGCTTGGAAACAGTTGGCATTTCTCAGGCCAGAGCTCTACTGAGCTGAACTCTCCAGATCCAGTTTGGTTCATGAGACTCTCCTGAGGCCCATGGAAGCCCGAGCCTTGGAGGGGTTACTGGCAATTCATCGAAAAGCAGTTTCAATCTATCCAGTGCAGCAGGCCACCCTGGAGATGTGTGATGTGATGGTTACCCCTAATCCTGGGGTCTTACACCATCCCTTCTTGGTTCCTAGATGTCTCAGAAGTCCATTCTTAACTTATAAATCGCCACAACAGGTTCCTCTTAGTGTGGCTTCTTTCAGATCTTTTCATCTGGCATCTACCTCTTTATTCTGAGGCTGCCCAATATATGACAAACACCTAGTGGACAGCTGCACCTTGAAAGATTTTTGTTACAAGTTGAGTGTCTGGAAGTCTTCTTTTTTAGCAAGAAAAACAAGTGAGCAAGCTCAGCATAGCCAGCGTTGTCAGCAACACCAAAATCAGCTGGGGTGACTCTGGTGGTCTTTGCTGAATCCTCCACTCCAAAGCTGGGTGAAGACCCTGGGCCTAGCTCTCCCGGAGCCATTCTACCTGACTGTAATTCTTTGAGGGTTCTTCTCTTTTCTTTTATTACTATTAATAAATTATTATTATTATTATTTTTGGTGGCACTGGGGTTTGAATTCTGGGCTTCACGCTTGCCAGACAGGTGCTCTACCACTTGAGCCACTCCATCAGCCTCTTTGAGGGTCCTTTTATTCCCCCTTCCCCAGTTTTATAAGCTTCTTTAAGTAGGGGCCCTGATTTATTAGTGCTTTCACCACTCACTGCCTGGCCAGGAGATGGGTCTTAAATGTTTGTTGAACAAATGAGTGAATGAACAGATTAATGGGTGACTGTCTGGCAAGCCTTGCTGGCTTCCTTTGTTGTTCCTTGAGTGCACCAGGACGCTTCCATTCTGGGGCCTTTGGCCTAGCTGTTCTCTCAGACAGGAATGTTCTTCTCCAGAAGTCAGGGTGGCTCACTCTCTTCTCTCTCTCATACTGCTTCAGCATTACCTCGGAGAGGCCTTCCTGTCACCCTATTTAAGCCTGAAACCCTCTGTCCCACTTGACCTTCTCAATTTCCCCTACTCTGTGCTAATTTTTCCTTTTCCAATAACATATCTTACTCTCCAACATCTCTGTAGTTTACTGATGTGCTGTGATGTCTGTCTGCCTCCTCCCACAATAACACAAGTTCAAAGGGCAGAGCTCTTTGTTCTGATATTGATGTATCTCTAGCTCCTTATATGGCACACAGTATGAAATGAGGCCTCAATAAAACATCAACTCAATAAATAGATGAATGAATGAATGACTTATTAGGTTTGGGAGAGAATGATTTCCATTCCGGAAGTGTTGGAATTTTGAGGAGCTGAGGGATAAAGCAAAGTGGATGTTGTGCATTATCTGGGGCTCGACATCTCCAGCTGCACCGGATTGGAACAGAGGAGCTCCTGTGATGACACATGTATCAATGACAACACAGGGCCAAAAAGCAGACTTGGGGGTCCACTTTGCTGTGTTTCAGTTTCTCTGCCTATAAGTGGTCTTTGGCCATGGGGATTTTCCACAGCCACTCTCATTAAGGTGAGTCATGAAAGTGCTCCTGCACACCAGGAAGCAGCTCAGGCATGGGAGACTGAGCTGCCCCTAAGTACTAAGGCAAGAACTGCAGCCTCCAGCTATGGCAGCCTCTTAGCCCAAAGCTGATAGCATTAGATGCTCATTGAGCTCTCCTGCCACATGCAGAACACAATGCCAGGTGCTGGAGGACCTCAGGAGTAAGACTTTCTAGTGGCACGAAGACATGCCAGCTAGTCAGGCCACTGAGGCTCATGTGATTTGAACCTTGACCCTTCCACTGGAACCTCGCCTACAACTGTTTGCAGTCCTGGGTGTTGGGAGTGGGTTTGTCTGCAGCTTGAAATCCTACAACAATGGCAGCTCCTCCTGGCCCAGCTGGCGTTTTGCCTCTGCTTCAGATGCTTTTGCAGACCCCGAAGCATGGTCACAAGTGAACTCCCCATGTGGAGGTTAGAGCTTGGGACCCAAGCCCTCCACCTGAACCCACCTTCCACCTTTTCCTGTGCCTCTCCCTCTGGAACATTCCTGCCCCTCCCGGGTACTTAGCTCATCTTTAGCCATCTTATCTTTCCCCACCCACCTTATAACTCTCAAGACCACTGTATAGAGCTGGATATAAACTCCACCCAGCCAGAGCTGGGTTTAAATTCCACCCAGCTCAGGCACCTAATTATGAGGTGACCTTGGACCTGTTATTGCTCCTCTCAGCAAGTTAATTGGGTGTAATTAGGAGAAGAAAGAAAACTAAAAATATTTTCATTAAAAATCCCTCCCGTATTTCCATCTGGGCCACATCAGAGTTTCCTACCTACTTAACTTTATCTCTGGAACAACTTTATAAAGTCGAAAAAACACTGTGATTTTTGCATTCACTCTTAGTTTGTATCATCTGACACGCTTTCAGCAGTTTATCCTCCCACCCCACCTCCCACCTGTCTACTTGTTCATACATTTGTTCAATAGACATTTAACTTTTTGCAGCCTATGTGTCAGACACTGTGCTGACTGTTAGAATCAGAGGTGAATAAAGCAGTCTGTGTACAGAACTCACTGTCTACAAGGAGACAGATGTGCAACTAAGACTTGGCTATGCAGAGTACACAGATAGGGTGTAAGGGGCCAAGGCAGGGCGAGGAACGTCGAAGGTTTCTGGCTTGGGATTTTGGTTGGTGATGTTTAACTGCTGTAGAGAGAAGAGGATGAAAAGGGAGTTTGATGATGATACAGAGAAGTGGGTGGAGATAATAAAGGTATTATTCTGTATTGGTTTTCTCCTCTGTTCAACATGGTGTACAGTAGTTTCTCACACTTGAACATGTCCTTGGGCTGCCTGGGCATTTTGTTAGAGTCTGCATTTCTGACAAATCTCAGATTGTCTCAACAGCCCTACCAGTGGGCAGATCATCTAGGCAAGTGTGCAGGTGAAAATGTCCATGTGGGCCTCAGGAGGGAGGCCAGGACAAGGCTGGAAGGTGTCAGAGTCACCCAAGAGCAT